TGGTGAAACACTTCAGAAACTAGGTCTGGGCACACACTTTATGAACATGAGCCCAAAAGCACAAGCAACAACAACAAAAAAACCAAATGGGACTATATCAAACTAAAAAGCTTCTGCACAGCAAAGGAAACAATCAACAGAGTGAAACAACAACCTACAGAGTGGGAGAAAAATTTTGCTAACTATGCATCCAACAAGGGATTAATATCCATAATATACAAGGAACTCAAGCAATTATACAGTAAAAAAACAAATAACCCAATTAAAAAATGGGCAAAGGAACTGAATAGATATTTTTCAAAGGAAGACATACAAATGGCCAATAGGTACATGAAAAAATGTTCAACATCACCAGTTATCAGGGAAATGCAAATTAAAACCACAGTGAGATATCATCTTACCCCAGTTAGACTGGCTATAATAAAAAAGAATGAGAATAACAAATGCTGGCAAGGATGTGGAGAGAAGGGAACACTCCTACACTGCTGGTGGGACTGTCAATTAGTACAACCACTATGGAAAACAGTATGGATGTTTCTCAAACAACTACAGATAGATCCTCCATATGATCCAGGAATCCCTCTTCTGGGTATATACCCAAAGGATACCTGCACTCCCATGTTCATCACAGCTCTGTTCACAATAGCCAAGATATGGAACCAACCTAAATGTCCATCGATGGATGATTGGATAAGGAAAGTGTGGTATATATACAGCATGGAATACTACTCTGCCATAAAAAAGAATGAAATTCTCCCATTTGCAACAACATGGATGAGCATGGAGAAACTTATGTTGATTGAAATAAGCAAAGCACAGAGGGATAAATACCGTATGTACTCTTTCATAAATGGGAGCTGGGGTCTGCCCCGTGGCTTACTCAGGAGAGCACGGTGCTGATAGCACCGAGGCTGCGGGTTCAGATCCTATATAGGGATGGCCAGTGCACTCACTGGCTGAGCATGGTGTGGTGCAGACAACACCGAGCCAGGGGTTATGATCCCCCTACTGGTCAAAAAAATAATAATAATAAAAAAATAAGTGGGAGCTAAGAGATAAAGAAGAAACGAAAGAAAGATCACAGTGGTGCATTGGACTTGCAGAGGGAGAGAACATACCTAGGGATACAAAGTGGAGTTGGGGAAAGGGGGATGGGAATGGAGGTCGGGGATTATTGAGGGGATAATTGGTTGGGGAACATGGGGTATAATCACAATTTGTGGTAATGGATATGCTGCCAGTGTGAATCTGGCCCTCACTTCATANACCAACCAGCTGCCCCCCAAAAATGTCTTTTAACTTAAAGAAATGCCTTTCCCAGTTTCACGGTTCAAAATCTAATACGTATCTCCTACCGTAAGTCTTGGAATTTTATTAAATGGTGTGTAGTGAATAAGCCAGGCTACGTTTTCATTCAATTCTCTTTAAAGAGATGATCAAGAATAAAGGCATACAAAGTAGGAAGGGAGATAGGGAATAACAAGAAGGGAAAGAGAAACACATTTACTGTGTACCTCCAAGCATCCTAGAAAACAGGTGCTTTATCTGGATTACTTTTTTTTGTTTCTCCTACCACCTGCCTATAGGGAAACAAAGGATCTACATAAAAACTTTTAATAAACCTTTTAAGTGGCCTTAAAAAGAAGTGCTAAATTTCTATTCAAGATACTGGCTTGGTTTCCAAAAGCAAATATCTCATTAAAGATTAGATTTATCCTTAGAAAGACTTAAATAATTACACCTATTCCTTAAAATTTAATCAATCAGAATGTTAAGAATCACAATGAAGGATCATCACGCCATAGACCACGGAACCTCATCACCTTCCTTAATGTCATAATCATGACTCTAGCTACCTTTAAAACATAGCATCAGAAAAATCAGTAAATAAAATTAAAGTTGTCAGCCTCTGAGAGTTCCCAAATCATGAAAAAATAATTCTTTGGTACTTAGTCTGTGTTTAAATATGGGGGGAAGAGTTCACTGCAGAGAAAGTCATTCTAAGTTTCTCTTTGTTCTTTCTTTCCTTGAGTTCCCAGAAGGCCAACAACTAGGAGACAATAAGAATACAACATAATAGAAGACTCTTTGTTGGGAGTAAACTCACCTGTAATGCTTTATTCTCTTTAAGGTCCACCCCAACACATTGTGCCGCTTCACCTTAAAAAGATCAGCATCAGCTCCATCTTCTTCCTCCTCATCCCTGTCCAAGAACTGCACTGGAACCTCCTTGATCTTCTGTGCCTCATCAGGGTTAGGAACAGATTGAGTCTGAGACCCTTTTGCTTTTGCCAGTTTCTCTTCCATTTCTTCTCCTCTTTCTCCTTCCTCTTTTTCTTGTTTTTCATTGCTAATACCATTAGCCAGTCTATACTCTGTCCTTTCTAGTTTTTTCCCACTTTTCTGAAGGATGGACATTTTCTCACTGAAGTAGGCTCTAAATTCTTCCACTTCATCACTGGTGAGGGAGGGAGCCCTTGGCTCAATTACTTTCTCAGCTTGACTCACTACCAATTCTTTGGTGGGTTGTTTCTGCATTTTCTGAAGAAATCTTACTCGTGGTGCCACAGCAAGACCAAGAGACCTTAAATAAGGAAAAATATGAAAATAATTGTCTCTATACACTGATGGTATGATTATGGGTATTATGGAAGTTTCTTAATAGCAGAGATCTATTTCTAGAACTTTTTCAAAGAAAATGTTCCTCAGAGATACAGCTCAGTATTAACAGACTAGGTAATCCAAAAAGCAAGCAAAATACGCTGAATACCTATCAGAAAACATTTCAGATGCCCAGTTTTTCTTTGAGAGAGTAACTTCATATAAAATAAAAAGCATCAGACCAGAAACAAGATGATACCAGTTCAAGTACTAGACCCACCAATTTCCAATCCAACTGTCTCAGCCTCAGCTTCCTCACAACATGGAATGCTAGTACCTGCCATGTCTATCTCACAGTTGTTGTAAAGATACAATTAACTAACTATACATAAAAGTACTTTGTAAACTGTAAGTACTAAATAAACTGGAAAAGACACAATGAAAGGACAAAACAGAGTTTTCTGCAAAGAATAAAATGGTGTATCATTCCTCCCCTCCCTCTCTTCCTGAAATAATATGGCACAATCACTGTTATAAAAATGGATTTTTATAAACCAAACACACACACACAAAATTTTTTTTCTCCATCTAAGATCAAGATTCAATTTGAGACCAGGTCTTTCTCAGCTTGGATTAAAGCTAATAGCTTTTACTAAATTACTACTGATGGATTGAAAATAAAATCTTAAAGTAACAATTACTTCAACAAATAGCTAACATTATAACATGAATCCACTGCTTTATTTCCTGTAGAACATGATTCACAGAAACTGAGAAGTATAGTGTTGAAAAGCACAGATTCAGAAACAGAACTCTTAAGATTCAAATCCTGGCTTTGTCACTTACTAGCTGGGTGATCTCAGGAATATTATTTAATCTCTCTACATCCGAGTTTTCCCATTCGCAAAGTGGAATTATAAGAGTACCTACCTCATAGGGTTGCTATAAGAATAAATCAGTTGACAGATGTAATGCACTTAAATTACTGCCTAGCACATAGGCAACTAATGAGAACTTGCTGTCATCATTACTATTGTGAGAGGCAGGGATTAGAAGGACAACCTCCTATTCATCAGAGGATCTCTCTCAATAGATTATATTTACATTTATAAGTCCTTCTCAGCTACTAAAACTCTCAGTTCTTTGAAGGTTGAAATACATATTATATATCTATAATTTTAACATTTAGCACAATGACCTGCACATATTAGGTATTCAAAACATGTTTCTTTAGTAAAAATCTTAAAACTTCTATTATACCTTACATACACAGTACTGCTTTAGGCATCAAAGGCTTCTAAAGGAATTTACACACCTCAAGGAAATTACATATCTAAATATCCACAAAGATTAAAATCACCAAGTTAAACTATACCAATAATTTAGGTTCAAGTTAATTTTCTGCCTTCTCTAAGCATCACAAAAATCAAGTCTTCAACTGTAAAAAGATGAAGTTTACCGGAACCTTCTGTGACAAAATGTTCCCTAAATATGGCCCTGCAGTGTTAAAGACGTGTCTCATGTTTTCTAAAATACTAGCTAAGTCAATCAGAAAACCAGGACAGAACTTCACACAGAGCACAAAAATCAGCTAATAACCTAAATCACTGATAATATTCAGAAATGGTGAAACTAAAACTGGTATGTAAACAGATTAGCAAGCAAAAACATGTTATTCATGGCATGTGGTTTTCCATACATTACTTAAATAGAAAGCCAGTGGCCTTACACTGCTTAATACCAATTTAAAGGGTCCTAAAATGTTACCACTGACAAATTACCTGTTATACTCCTATTAAACTCACAATCTAAAATAAAGAATGGAAAACAGCAACTCACCCACATACCAGTTTTTGTTAGACTCAATTTAAAGATAAAGACACTCAAATTCCTGGAAAGCAGGCCAAACATAAAGATCTTGCGTTGTGAACACATATTTCATCACAGCCTGGATAGTTTCATGCTAATAACCAAAGTGTGATTAACCACAAGGGTGCTTCTATAGGGTTTTCTCAATGTTTTTCCCACAGGTAGAACACAACTGAAGAATGGGCACTCCTCCTTTATATGTGAAAATTAAAAAAAAAAAAAAAAAAAATCCCTCAAATACCAAGCCAAAACAAAACCAATTATTCTATTTCATATAATAGTAACCTCAGTGACTAACAGTAACTGTCATTGTGGAATATACCATAAAACATATGTACTTCACAGGGCCTGGTTTTCCAAAACCTTGCAGTTTCAAATATTGACCTTGCACAGACAGGAAATTTTCCTCAGGCTGTAAGTCTCTGGTGTGAGATAAATTTGTGGCACAGCAAGGTTGCTGGCTCAAGGACAGACTAGTTACTGATTGTTATGTAAAGATACTGAGATGTTGCTCTAAGACAGAATGTTTGCTAAGATCAAGCTTGTGTTGATAAGATCACTTAATTGTCTACTGGAACGTCATCTGGCTTGTTTCACTGAAAGTTACCAGCCTATATTGTTAAACTATAATCCTACCTATGTTCTCTTCCTGTAACTTCCTGGTCTGGAAAATGAATGCAGGAAAAGAACCCCAATTTGGCATTAATTTCCCAAGGAAGGGTTGCCTCTTGCTGGAGGGTCCCAGGGAAGTTAACCACTTTGGGGCTTCTCACTGCTCAGAAGACATGGGCTTTGAGTAATCCTTTGTGTCTCTGTCACCCAGGGGAAGTGGGGAGACAAATCCATGGGGGGCGAAGCAACACAAAGCAACATGTCATGGTAACTGTGAGTACCCATAAGAAACACCAGGACAAAGACTATTCAGGCAATAAGAAACATGGGAAACTAGCAACATAAGACAAGAACTGGTGAAGAGACTCACATCCAAAGCATAAAACGTCTCAAAATGAGAGGACTACAGACATTTAACTACAGACTACAGACACTTTTATAGATTTCAAAGAATACTCATCAGTTGCTCTCCATCTCCTTTAAGATCAAACTAAAGGAAACTGCCAATGTCACTTTAGTACATTTATACTTACAAATAAGAAAATTCTTCCTGACAACAAGAACTGAACACACAAATAAGTTTCTCCAGAGTTGATTTAATATTTTTCTCCACAGATCTTTAACAGGCAGATTCTTTTAAGGTAAGGCAAGGTGGTTTAGACTAAGAGTCTCAGAGAACCAGGTTTGGAACAAATTCCCTCCAACTCCGAGGATTCACTATTACAACTATATTATGAATACTTACAGGGCATATTCAGATATAGACAACTTGCTCACATCAAATACTTCTTTATCCTTCATCAGATATACTGAACGTATGTAGGAGACAAAACACTGTAAAATGAGAGGTTAGAAAGTATGACATATAATAGAAATGGAAACAGAATTTAAACTGTGGAGTACACTAACGTTTATAAAGCAAATGTATTTCACAGGGCCTAGTTTCCAAAGCCCTGTAGTTTCAGGTTTAGCCTAACTTCTTAAAAATTATATATAGAAATGTTAACCATGCAAAAGACAGGAAACTTTCTCCAGGCTAAAGTCTCTGTTGAAGATACGAATTGTAACACAGCAAAATTGTTGGCTCAAAGGGTAGATGTCCTTGGTACAGGTTAACCTTACTTCTTATGTAAACGTACTGAGGAAACTGCTGTAGGGAAAGAAAATGTTTGCTAAGAACAAGCTTTTGTTGGTGGATGGACTTAACCTTTTGCAAATTGCATTATGGAATGTCACTTTGTTATCTCACTGATGTTATTAGCCTCTATTGTTAAACTGTACTTAGCCATAACTCCACCCATGTTGCTTTTCTGTAACTTTCTCGTCTGGAGAATAAATACTGAGACAGAATTCCAGTTCAGTGTTAATTTCCCAAAGGAGGAATGCCTCTCTCTTGAGGATTCCAGGAAGTTAACCTCTTCGGGGTATCTCACTGCTGACAGGAAATGGGCTTTGAATAATCCTTTGCGTCTCCATCACCCAGGGGAGAGAGGTGGCAAATCCATGTGAGAACAAAAAGAGTGCAACATAAACCAAAATAAAAGAAAAGAAACCAAAAGAATAAATTCAACAGTAGTGAAAAAAATGACAAAATAGTTCAACATATCTCCATTCCACACACATGCACACATATACACAAAAATCTACCTTTTAGAACTTTAGTATTGGAAAAGACTTTGCATTTGGTCTCAAACCAGCTCATCACAGAATATCACCCTCACAAAAGGCTACTCTGGAAGTTAATATCATTCAGGTACAATAAGATCCAATGGAGAAAACATAGGCTTTGAAATAATGCAGATTTGAGACCTGCTGTGAGCTCTGGACCTTACTAGCTGAGCAAATTTCTTGTTTCTCTAAATGTCAGTTTCCTCATCTACCAAAAACAGATAATAACAGTACCTTTACTTAGTGTGTTATGAGAACAGAATGAAAAAATGCATGTAGCATATTTTTAGGAATATAGTGAGTAGCAACAAATGGTACTCACTATTGATAATATTTATTACCATAATAGTCAAATAATAAAGTTTTCAATAAAGTAATTTTTTTATTAAATGAAGCTTAAAATTATGACAGGAAAAAGTTTATTGCTAAGGGGTTCTTTTAATTATAATTTCAAGTAATTCATCCATTTGGAATTTTTTTTTTTTTAAACAGAAACAGAAGAAAAACTTATCTTTATGCCAGAGCTACACAAACCACAAAGTAAACATGGTCCTGATACTTTGTCAATTTGTAAAATAAACAGGTAATAAAACATCTAATTTTTTTTATTTTGAAATTAACTTTTTTCAAGTGTATTTAATTATCATTTTCATATTGCCTAAACTTCACATTTTCTGTTGTTTTACACTAATTCTTTTTACCCAATTAATCTCCAAACCATTTTCTGTCGACATAGGGCATGAAAAACAATGAATGGCACCAGTTTAAGAATAACCATTTCCCCTACAACCATCCACAAGAAATCACCCTACTTGCTATAATTTTTGTTCTGTCCAGATTATAATCAAAACCTAGAAAATCACTTGTATGAAACCAGATAGCTTGATGCTGCTGCTGGCAACACAGTTGGTCATTCTGCTAAACCATGTATGATCCCCAAATAAATCACATCATTTATTTCAATGTACCATTCTATAATTTTTGTTCTGGAAGGCTCATCTGTTGTAGGCACAAGCCACAAACTTGTGAAACATCCTTCCAATGTTTCATATTTCCTGATTGATAATTGAATGACCTCCTAAGCATACAGTAAGTCACGACATATAAGAATTTATACATATTACTTTAAATGTGTGTACTATTTCCAAAGCTTCTAAAAGAAGATTTTAACTCCTAG